AAAATTATATAAATAACAAAGGTATAAAAGATCATAAAGAAAGTAAAAGTCCAGTTCTCTCTTACAAAACGTATTTGCACATACAAAAAGTCATCTTTTCATCATAATTTTATATAGATCATTTATTACAAAGTATATACTTTGCATTTCTGATATATTTTGTAACAAGATAAATAATATTACATAACAAACATAAAAAATAACTCGAAGGTACATGGTAAGCGCCGGACGGATTATCTCTTCCGAAATATGTAATTGTTATAGGTAATATAACATTGTTGAAACAAAATTATGTTGTCATAAATATATTTGTGATATAATTTTGCATAATACTTCATTATAATAACATAAATATTTATATTTATATTTATATATTGTAAATGTGTAAAATTTTGTTATTATAAAGCGCTATAAGGCGCGGGCCGATATATCGGCTCTGGCACTTCTCGCCAGTGCAGCAAGAGCCGATATATCGGCCTCCGGCACTAAAAGGGTTAAAAGTAATATATGAGCCGTTTATTTTGAAAGTGGTATAAGTCACTTTGTTTTTAAGTCGATATATTTAAGGGTTTGCGTTTTAACACGTTTAAAAATATGGATGCTAACTTTCGAGAAGATTTACTTGTATTTGTTACCTCAGGATACTGATATTTTTCTCAGTATAAATAGTTTCGTATAAACATTAAAAAATCACCACTTTTCATTACGGTAAAGTGACTTGTGCCACTTTCAAAATGAACGACTATGTCTGGCCAAAAATCGGAAGAAATGCTTGCTGAAGATCTTCGTAGAAATTAAGTATTAATGTGATTTATACGAAACGTATATTGTACAGGGTGTCTCTGAAAGATATGTACAAGCGGACACCAGGTGATCCCTCATAAAAAAGCATGAACAAAAAATATAGAATAGCTTTTTTATATTTGGGACCTGGTTTATGGGAAAATCGAGTTTGAATATTCAAACATGAGTGTTTTATTTTTCTTTTTCGTCACTCCAAGCAACAGGAAAATTTAAAAAAGTGCGCTCTAGTTACAATCTAGTAGACTGGGTCCCTCTATCATTTCTAGACAAAAAAGCGAGTCATTTAGTCCAGTTGTGGAGAAGTTATTGCGTTTTAAAAGCTGTCCGAACATTAATGGTAATACAGTGGCTCCCATTAATGTTCGGACAACTTTGAAAAAATATTTCCAACGCAAAAAGATATTTCCGAAGACCAAAATGCTTGAAATATCGAAATATATTTTTAGCGTATTAAAGGAAAATTAGAGTGTTTAATGACAGCCTTAGCAAAGCAAAAAATGGCTTAAGGCACGGAAATTCGTATATCTATCCATCTGTACGTTTCAAAGGACGGCTCTTAAGTCATTTGAAGTTTTGAAGTGCAATGCAAGGTCAGATGTCAGCTTTTCGATATAGAGGTTGATGACGTGTTTTTAATTTCATTAGGTTCACAAAATGTACATTATATTCGATTTCGAAGCACTTTTCTTTTCGTAAATGCAAGGACCTGTAACATTTTGGTCAAAATTCGACTTTTACTACTTCTATTACCAATAAAAGGTAGTTATATAGGATGATCCATCTATCTTGAGCATCTCAAGTATGAGATACAAAATGGTCATAGAAAGAGAAAACCTTTTTTCATTGTCATCTTTCAAGACTTTAAGGTCATCGATGTTTTCTTTTCAAATGGGACTGTATAATTCGAATAATATCATATTAACAGTTAAATCCAAGGAGAATTCAACGATTTATAATATATAATATGAGGTCCCTTACGTGACCTTGAGCAGCGGTCATATTATAAAAACTGCACGTGTAAATGTTCATCACAAAATTTTAAGGAGAGTTTGATAGGAGGTCATTTGTCGTCAACATGAATTTACAGAATTTATTGGACATCGTTCTGAGCACCTGCTAAAATTAATTTCATTTTTTTATACATAATATCTATTTTTATTAATATTTCCTGCTCGAGGTCGCGCGTAGGTCATGGTACTATAGGTCGTTGGACTCGTTTTGACGTTGGTTAATCAAGTGACTGTAATACAAGTATACCGTTTTGTTTAAGAAAGGTATCAGTGATCTTGAGATCTTAACAAAATGTGAGTTTTGAGAGAAATTTGTTCTCTTTAAGAAAGAAAGATGAGATACATTTTTGATTACCACCTCTTAAATCATGTTTTCCTCTAACATTTTCTTGTATTGCTGATGAGAAATTCGCTGTTTGGACTTCTTTAGTTAGGTGAATTATCCTGACGTTTGAAATATCTGCACCTGTAAGTTAGGATGTTATTGGCTGGTAAGAAAAAAAATTGTTTTATGTCAAGAGATACAGGATGTGATGTCTATAATTATTTTTGTAGTCGATAATGGAAAGGACATAACGAATAGCTTTAATTCTTCTTTAATTCTTATGTTTTATCTTATGTTA